CATATATATGTAATATCAAAGCAATTGGTTGAAAATATCACTTTTACCAAAAATGACAAAAATATTCACCAAAATTAGAGAATTGAAGATAAGATAATGAAATGAACAAATCCGAGAGAGGTCTACCCAAGGTACATATACACCAAGTATCAAAGCATTCAGGCTTGTAGTTTTCAAGAAGAAGTTGAAAAAGTAAAACATTGACACGAACGATGGACGCAGGACGACAGACGACGATGGACAATCACTCAATATGATAAGCCTCGCTCGAGCTAAAAAGGACATTTTTTCATTCATTTCTGTTGACCTATATACATACATTTTTTATTTATTTATTTTTCATACAAGTTTTATATAGACTTTCAAATGTTTGACAGTCAGAAATAAAGATAATAATAATAAGTAAATAATAATAATAATATACGCTGAAATGAGATAATTAATATGCAAACTAGCTATTTAATATGCACAGACATGGTCCCAAAACTAATCATGTTTGTGTATTACCCCCATTTTCTCCATTTTCCAAGCCATTCCGATCTTCGGAATCATAAGGGTATTAAGTTTTAGAAAAATTATGATAAAATTACATATAATCCAAACCTTCTTAAGGCAGAATAATCTGAAATTGTGCAGTGAACACAGGATTTGAGAATTTGATTGTTCTCTACAAAATGAAGTAGGAATATAAAAATGAGAAAAAAAGATGTTTAATCTACAGATCTCATAAACTAATTTGTCACCTAGGTAAGTCTCTCTACAATTAAATGGGACTCCTCGACGATTTGGGGGTCCCCCTTAACCTTTTCACCACCAGATTTTCTTGTCAAAAGTATTTCTGCACTTTTACTTATATTTTTCAATATTTCTGGAAATTGAACCCTAATGTTGGAGCCAACAGACAAAATTTGAGTTAATTTTCAGTTTTGACTCAAAAAATTGTGCTATTTTTGTCTCAATTTTCTGAAAGAAAATGCAGACAATAAACGGGACAATTTTGTAAATTTGTGATGAAAAGAGGGAACTGGTTGTGAAAAGGTTAAAAAGTCCTCAGTGAAAAAAATAATATAACATCTAAAGCAGCTAAAAACTTACATTGGCAAAAATCTTTCGTTGAAGTGATGGATATGACTGGACCTCCTTAAGTGAAGCAGTACTGATAAGCTGCGGTCTCTGTCCAAGAGCACTGCAAGGACCATCTAACAGTATCTTGTCAAACGTTTCAGCAGGATAAGGTGGCTTGCCAAGAGAATCTATGTCAAATCACATGGAAATTCTTTGTTTTACAAATTATTTTATTTAAAAGGTCACACATTCTGCTATTTTGGGGGAAGAAAGAATTCAAGAGTTTCTCAATTACTTTCCCACAACATAATTTCAGTAGTTGATGGAAAAGTTATAATTACATTGACAACAATTAAGGTATATTATATTTTTGTTTTAACAATATCTCCAGAAAGTACCAGGATGTGTGACCTTTGGAGGTCATGCATAAGCCCAATAAATTTAATATCAATTCTTCAAGTTCTACATCAATGTCACAGTGTACAAAATGCAAGGTCTGCAAAGTTAAAAGTTAGCAGCAAAATTATCAAAACATCATTTTAATATTACTGCATATACTTCGTAAATTATTTATTTACAATTTATACAAACATTTATAACAGCATGTCTTTTAATTAATACATCATTCACACATCTCACTGTTGTTACACATGCTGTGATTAGATGGATAGTGGATAACACTTGACATAACATAGCACATGCAGACGAAGCTCAACCAAGAAATATTTTAAAAATATTACAGAGTAAATGTATTATTCGCTTGTATTTTTAATAACTTTAAAAACTATGACAACATTTCAGGTAGCCAATCAAGAAATAGTAAAAAAAAATCTCACCTGCATCTATTACCGGTACATCTGGAGAAAATAGACGAGTACTGTCGTATGCAAATGTTTTAATACAATGTAAATTGAGTTTACAAATATTTAAGTCGATCCTAGAAACCTTGGATTGTGCTCGGTCAATTGCTATGACAACACCTTTATCATTCATTAAACTTGATAAATGTGTTGTTTTTCCTCCTGGAGGGATGAACGAAAATAAATGTTGTTATTAAAACAGAATCTAGGTTGGTAAAATTGAATTTTTTTTATATTAAGTTATATCTTTATACAAAAATATATTGTTCCTATATCAAGTATAATGTCATCTGGAGTCAT